AGCTCGAAGCCTGTGCCCCTTCCTTATTTGGACTTCCTTTTTTTGCTCTCCATGACTTTCACCTGTTTAGAAAAGTTTCAAGTTATTAGCCAATTGGGTTTTAGTTTAGATCGTGAGATCTGGTTCCAGCCGATGGAGATCAGATACAGCAGCAGGACCAACCCCAAATATGTAAGAAATAAAAATGACTCCTTTCCTTTGTTCGTTGTATTCTCGTGGCATGATGGCTAGCCAGGGTGCTCTTCCTGCAGTCCAGGAAGTAAAAATTGCTTTGCTGAAAGATCCTTTGTCTCAGTGCTGATTTTTCTTCAAAGCATGGAGCATCTATTTCCAATACCAACAAATGTTACTTGAATAAACAGTTTTCTGACTATTAACTCTCCTCTCTAACGGCGATTTTTTTCAAAATCCAGGCATGGATTGGCCTTACTGCACAGTTCAGCATAGGAGCATGCTGGCTCACCATTAGAGTACTGGATCTCAGGGGTCAAAGCTGTGGACGCAATTGGAGAGGAAGTCACTGGGTTCACCAAGAGAATGATCGTTTCTGGCCCTTGTATACATAACTTCATGCAACACAGAGACTCCTGAAAGTCGCACATGAGTTGGGTTTCTGAAAATCAAGTTGTTTCATCTTTATTGAAATGTTCTAGCTTCATTTGACTGGACTTGGGTCACCAATAGGTTTCTTACATTTTGGCTTTGAGTTTCTTTGCCTAGAGGCCTCTTTATTCCAAAAAGGTCTAGGAATAAAAGGGGGGCATGATATATTAACATGGGATGACTCAAAGGGTCATTTTGCAGATGGGGAAGCCGAGGGACTAAGTGGCTACCTAAGGCCACAGTTCACAGTGCAGACCTGAGCCCAGAACCTAGCTCCCGAGCCCGAGGCCACTGGTCTTCCTGTAGGGAAACCTTAGTGAGCTAGGGAAGTACCGTATTTACAAGAACCTACCACTGAACCATCTGGGGGTGTGGAAAATGGCTGTTTGCCTCAATTTGAGGCTTTCTCAGCATTCTGGACTTGTTTCACAGAGTCCACCTCTCCTTCTCCCCACTGGGAGGTACGTATTGTCTAGGATACCCGTAACTGTAGGACTGGCAGCTCGGGAAGGGCTGTGGCAAGGGCTGGCGGAAGCCCTTCCTCTGGTGCTCCCTGGCACCTCCCCCCCTACATGATGCAGAGGTCTGTGTGCTCTGTCCTCCCCGGCTCAATCATTCTCCGCTTTCAGCTTCTCAGTGTCCCGGGATCCAAACTGCACCCTGTGTCCCTGCCAGTCCAAGAGCTCCCACAAATGTCAGCAACAGGAAAGGGCCACTTTCAGGTTTCCAGCGGGGCCTGAGGGCCATTGTGGAGTCAGTAGCAGAGGAGGCAGGGCGAGCAGAGCCGCCTGGCAGGCACAGCCCAGGAGCAGGGCCTGATGCGCAGCTGGAAGAGGACGGATTGGTCCTGGAGTCTCTGCTGGCTGGGCCGGGAATGGTTCTAGACACGGGTCCCAGGCTGGACAGATGTTTGTTTGCTTCCCATGCTCCTGCTCAAGAGGCAGGAGTTCAGAGGACTTGGATTGTAAAATGTCTCATTAGACCCGGAACAAACACCCTGTCAGGGGAGTGAGTGGTTCTTTGCTAGTTTTAGGATGGAAACGCTCTGGGAAGGCAAAGCCCGGCCCAGGAGGATGGTCCCTGGTGGGAGCGGATACCGACCTGGCTTGTACCCAAGGCCTGCCCCTGAGTCCCTGACATGGTCAGGTGCCTGTGGCCAGGGCCGGGGGAGCCACGTCATCTTCCATCCACACCTGGAGGGGAAGGCGACCTCACATGCCCAGCGCGATCTGGTCCCCCAGCCTCTGGCCATCCACCCCTGTGGAGACCAGAACTGTGCTGTGCCCTGAGCGTCCAGGGCTGCCTCATCTATCAGTCGTGGCTGGGTTGCCTACTGTTGGTGTGGGGAGAGGGCGGAGTTGGTGACAGGGTAGAGAGGAAGTGGGAGGCCAAGTGGTTCCCTGGAGGCCTAGGAGAAGCTCCCCAAGGACAGCCAGCTCCTCCCCTGCGCTCCTCAGTCTGACTCAAGCTGCTCCTTCACCCTCCTCCCCTGCTGGCCCCTCTCTTCACCAGTTCCCCTCCCAACAGCCACCCTTCCTTCATCACCGTCAGCTCACTGGGTGGAGAACCAAGAGACAAGGATGTTTCTTACTAGGCCTGTAGTCCCAGCTACATGGGAGGCTGAGGCATGAAAATCGCTCTGGGGTATGCTGCGTGATTCCGGGGGTCACAGCCTTAGGTGGTTTCACGATCTTCTGGAAATAATCGGGAGCCCGCTTCTGAAGTCTCTGCTGGGCTGCTGGGGATCTGGTCCCAATTCCCTTCTCTTCCCTTGCTGCCCCTGTAACAAAGGGCTGCCATGTGACAGGATCTCCTCAGGCTTCAGAGAGGTGATTTCATCCAGAGCCACACAGGTGGGAAGACCACCGGCCTGGAAGGTGTGTGCGGGGTTGGGAAGGGGGGAAGGGTGGGAGCAGGGGCTGAAGCCTGGGTCGCCCCTCAGGGAATCAGTGGCCAATAAACAGCACTTGTAAACTTGAGCGTAGAAAACCGGGTGAGACGTTTTTACGGTCAAAGAAGCTTCTCCTTGAAGTCCCTGCAGAAGCCCCACGAGCAGAGTGACAGGGACAGGTTTTGGGGAAGTCGGCTGGATGATGCCATCAGGGGGCTGCTGGAATCTGGGGAGACAGAGCTGTTGGTTGGCAAGCCCCCGGATATGAGGGCGATGTGCCACTTTGACAATGGCCTCAGCCTCCGTTTTTTGGGCTGAACAGCGCAGAGGATGAAAACTTCTCACCCGGTTTTCTAAGTTTTCTACGCTCAAGTTTACAAGCGCAGTTCAGGGGCCCTGATTCTTTCCAGGGGAAGATCACCAAAGTACCCAAGGCCGAGACTGCTGAGATAGCACAGCATAACCTGCAGTCTCCAGCTCGATTTGCTCAGAACTCAGAAAGAAAACTGCCCACCCTCCTTGAACCTCAGGCACTGATAAGAGGCATTTCCCAAAGGACAATGACAAGCACGGCCAGGACCTCCCCTGCGCTCCTCAGTCTGACTCAAGCTGCTCCTCCACCCTCCTCAGGGCTGCAGCTGAGACTGACGGCGGTCCAGGGCCACCCAGGAGAAGAGCTGGGTCAGGGCTGTGACCCACCAGCAAGCATGAGGCTGAGCAGATGTGCCGGGCAGGCGGGCCAGAGGCTGGAGGCTGGGTGGGGCTGGCTGCCCTGCGGCCACGGAGGTGGCTGGAGGCAGGGCTGGGTGCGGCAATGAGTGTGCCCGAGGGTCTGGTTTCTGTTCCCATAGGACAGCCATGGTGACAGAGCTGTGACCAACTGCTCACTGGGCCAAGGATGAAGGAAGCTGTGCTCCCACTGGTGCTACGGAAGGCTGCTGCAGGGCTGGATGCCTGGGGGCTGGACTGCTGGGGCAGGCTGCCTGCTGCACCCCCAAGCTGCAGTCAGGGCTCGCCCTGAGGCCCCGAGGTGGAGAGAGCAGCTTGCTTATACACACCCATGTGCACACGGGCATACACACACACACACACACACACACCACGCTCTCACTTCATCCCTGAATTCTCCCTGACACAAAGCCAGCTCCTGGTTCTCCAGTCCCCTACATCCGTCTCTGCCTCTGAAGTCTCTGCTGGGCTGTGCTGGGGATCTGGTCCCAATTCCCTTCTCTTCCCTTGCTGGCCCCGGAGCAAAGGGCTGGCCATGTGGCATGATCTCCTCAGCTTCAGAGAGGTGAGTTTACCCAGGGCCACACAGGCGGGAAGACCACCGGCCTAGAAAGGGTATGCGGGGTTGGGAAGAGGGGAAGGGTGGGAGCAGGGGCTGAAGCCTGGGTTGCCCCCTGGGAAACTCACTATCCTAGCAGGTCTGCCTCAGTCACTTTCCCAACAAACAACACATCTCCCCTGATTGAACCCTGACGGAGGCAATGGGGGCGATGCCAGGCAAGAAGGTGGAGTTTGCCACTGTGTGAGCAGGGAGAGCGCTGCACACAGACGCTGTGGGTGCTGAACAGGAGCCTTCACCCTTAAATCCACACTGATGGCCCCCTTCCCTTTCCCCAGTGAAGAACGAAGGACCCTGTGGGATTTCTATTTCAAATTTCTCATTTATTCGACATTCACTTGGTTGCGACTCCAAGTTACCAAAGATGCAAGACAAGAAGTCTGTAGCAAGAGTGGTGAAGAGGAGGTGGAGAAAGACGGCAGAGAGAGCTGTGTTCCTGGCCCCTCCTTCTCTTCCAATTTAGGGCGCCGTTTGAAAAGAGTACGAAGAGTGTCCCTTAGCGCAGACTAGACAGCAGAAAAGGACGGTGCAGTTGAGCGAGGGAAGCTTCCTTTTCCACAGCGTGGGCCCCTGCAGCTGCAGCGGGCAGGCAGGCAATCTTGAGCCTGGTTGGAGCCAGTGCCCTGAGCAGCGTGGGCTATGTGGGGAAGGGCTGGGGCGCACCATCTCTCCAATGCCCCAAACCCAGATTCTGATTTGTGGGGCGGCAGGACTTCGCTAGGAAAGCCATAGGAGGGAGGGGATTGCACAGGATGCTTGCACCCAGGGACCCCATTGATCAGGGGCAAGAAGCGGGTGATGGTGAATTGGGTCTTGATTTTCACAAAGGCAGGATGTATGAATGATGTTATTTCTGGCGAGGAGGACGGGGCTGCTGTGGTTGATTGGCTGTGGAATTCCAGGGGAGCAAGGCACTAGGAAGTGGGGAGCTCTGCCAGGCCCAGCAGCTCGTCAGCGGCTTGCACTTGGCCCAGTGAGGACTGGCAGTGGGATGGGTGTGTTGAAGCTGCTCCCCTAAGCTGTCCCTCTGTGCCAGGAGACAGATGCCATTACCCCACCTACAGCTGCTTCCTGGTCCAAGAGAAGAGTTACCATTAAAGGTGACTCCATAGGAGGGTCTGACAAACGTGCTTGCTTTTCACTGACAACTAAAATTGGTTTGCTGCTAATCTTGTTTTATTGTGGTCTTTCATCCATCAGCAAGCATCCCGGCACACAAGGTCAGAAAGCTGGGTCAATACCTCCAGACCCTGCCAGGATTAGGGCAAGAGGGAGTGGCCCGGGCCAGCAGATCTTTTTGGGAAATCCTTACTTCCTAGAGCACTAAATGGTCCTTAGTTTATCTGGGCAAACCACGTTTCCCCAGAGAAAATGGAGTCTCAGAGATTAGTGACTGGTCCTAGAGCTAATGAGTGACCAAAGTGTAACCAGAGCCCAGTCTGCTTCTCAACTCAGGGCGCTTCGATTACTGATTGAGATGTAAGGTGAAAGGTGCCTTAATCGTGGTGCAAAGGACGTGCGTTCCCCTCCTCCCTCCTTGCTCCCTCAGAGGCACCCTGCTTTTGTCAAATGCAGAATCAAGATTGCAGCAGGGAGACCAGCCCTTTCCCTGCCCCACCCTCTGCGAATTCAGTGACTCAGGAGTGGGAGTGGGGCGAGCTTCTGCAGGGCCACTGGAAAACTCATCAGGCATGCTCACTCACCAAGCATAAGGCCACGGCCACGTTCTAAGTGGGAAGTCAGAGTTGGAAATGAAGCTGGTGTGAGCCACAATGAACGGCTCATCGCCAGAGACTGGGGAGTAGGGCGGCCACGTGTGGGCGGCGAGCGTGGAATCCCAAGGCTATGTGCTGTTGCTCTGGGATGAAGGTCCTGCTCAACGGCGTCACGGGTGGATGTCCGAGTAGAATGCTGGGCTATGGGGGTGCTGACGTGGTTTCAGCTGCTGCAGCTTCACCCCATGGAGAGTCTGAGCTCTTCCTGTTCACCAGCCCGCTGGCTGCCATGGGGATTGGCCACGTTAACCGCCTTTCATTCAACCTATTTGGGGATCAGACTTCTCTTTCTCGATGGTACACGGGAGACCTTTCCACTCTGCAGCTCCTGAAGGTACAAAGCCCCTGTTGCCTACCGGTGGTGACTGGTGTGTGTGTGTACACCTGGGAACGGGAGTGCACACACCCTCACAGGACTGCATCCACGCGAGCTGCTCGGGGTGGTGGGCTGGGCCGAGACAGTCAGCTGGTCTCTGCTAAACTACTAGACATCTGGTAACGAAATGAAAAAGCTTCTCCAGCAGGGGGCGCTGGTTCCTAAGGCAGAGAAAGGATTTCGGGGAACACAAGGTTAGAGTCACTTTCTGGTGCCGTCCCCGTAAGTCACCTTAGGCTTTAAAGTAAACTCGACGTGTTCCACGAGGAAGGGGGCAGGCGAGATGTGACACGTTCAGGAATCAACGTCCCTACGGGAGCAGCTACAGTGACAGCAGTGGCTATGGTAACCAACGTACAAAAGTGGGTTGTGAACTAGCTCTTGGATACGCGGCCCCGTTCGCGCCCCTCCCCTGGCTTCTCCAATGCTGGAATCGCAGCTCTCCCTTCTCCCCCTGCCCTCTGTCCCCTTCTCGTAGGCACAGATGCTTCATCTCCCAAGGGCGCTGGAGGCCTCCAGAGCCTTCGCTGAGCTTTCCGCGGTGCTTTGTGCAGTCCAGCAAAGCCAGGGGCTGGGCACACTGCAAGGGTTGTGGTGCTGCTGGGGCTGCCAGAGGAGTGTCCCAACCGAGAACCCGGCGAAGCTGCAGACTCAACCTAGCAGCGCCCCACCTATGGGCCACGGAGTTGGAGCCAGGCCCTGTCCCGCTTCTCAATGCAATCAAAAGCTTAGATCCTAGTAAACCCTTCACTGTGGAGTAAGAAAAGCCAAAGAAACAGAGAGAGCCCGTGAGGGGCTGTTGGAGGGTCAGCTACTGTGTCCATGGCTCCCGCCAGGGCAGCAGTGTGGGCGTGTCTGCGGGTTAGAGCGGAAGGGTTTACACGTCTGTACTAATAGCCCTTGGATTGGTGAAGGCCTCACGCCCAGAGCCTGGCCAGGTCACCGGGTAACTCTGGGGTGCTGCCAGTTTGAGGGATAGGGGTCCCCCCTCTTTGTAGTATGTGGGAGCAAAGGAGAGCCTCTCGCCTCCACCCCCATTGGGCACCATGTCAGCCGTCCGTATGTAAAAGGCGGAGCTGTATGGGGAGCAGGTCGTGCAGTGGCTCGCTGCCACCCCACAGGGCTGGCTGCAGGGCTCCCCGGTGAGAGGCGCCAGGCTGCCTCTGCCGTCCAGGGCTTGGGAGCTGCAGGCATTGCAGCTGGGGCCTCTGGGGTGCGTGGGAAGGTCGTGCTCCTGCTCCTCCTCCTCGTCTGCATCCTCGGTTCCACTCTTCTTGCAGCAGTAATACTGCGGGGAAGGGCAGAGGGATGACTGAGAGGGTGAATGCTTCCCCGGCCCCAACGTGTTTTTGGGTGTGCACAGGTGCCCCCGCCCCCTGCTCCGTGGAGAACCTAGGCCAGGCACTGAACCCCGGGGGCCTGCTCCGCAAGCTTCTGTTCCCAGCTTCGCGAGGCCAGTGGTCTTGCCCTTTCCCCTCCCACTACTACGTGCGGTAACTCCAGGCTGTGGGTAAGTGGGGGCAGGGCTGGGGCTGCTGGCTGCAGCTTTCAGAGCCTCCCCAGCACGGTGCTCTTCCCACCCCCCTGAAATCTCAGAGGGGCAGGAGACACAACCCAGTGACCCTGAATCTTCCCGGCACACTGTGTACCCGGAGGGTGCAGGCTAGGGGGATGCATAACTCCCTTCTGACCAGCCCATTCCCAGGCTCTGTCACTTGGCCTGCCACATTCCATGGCTTTGGGCTCTGTGGGCCCTGAAGTTGGCCTCCAGTGTCTGCTCCCATAAAGAAAAAGAGGTTTGCTGGTGGCCTTGCAGCCTTGGGGCTGTGGGTCCTGAGGACTGACCTGGAGCCTGCAGTAGCACAGCACGGCAATGATGCAGAGGAGGATGACCGTAGCTAGGATTCCGCCAGTGATCACAACCGTTCCCGCTGTCATCCGCCCGGCGCCCCATCAAACTCTGCAAAGATGTGCGGCGGGCTGAAGACCAGCTGTGGCTGCAGCCCTGGGCTGGGCCAGAGGGAGTCTTCCTGGAACTGCCCTTTGGCTGGGCAGGGGCCCTGAGAGCAGCCGGAGCAGGAAGGGCTGGGCCCCAGGGGCTTCCTGAAGGCTGAGCGCGGGCTGTGGCTCCAGACTGGGCCAGGCTAAGCAGGGTGTTTGGTAGGGGCAGATAACAGCTATGGGAGGGAAGAGAGAAAGCTGAGTGCTAATACTGCCGCTTGCTTCTGTGCAGTTTCCAACAGTTCTGTCTTTCCCCTTTGGTGCTCTTCTCGCCTTTTCTCTCCCCTCACACCCTTCTTAGCTCGCCCCCCCCCACCCCCCTACCCCCGCCCCTGCCGTTCTGGACGCAGAGTAACAGCTGCTGCTGATGGCGGGGCTCCTCTGTGCGCGGCATCGCACTAAGTGCCCCCTGCGCGTCTTACCGCATCCTGGCCATAGCCCTTGAGGCAGTTACTAGTTACCCCTGCTGCAGGCGTGCTGAACGAGGCTGAGAATACTTTGGCTGCGCATCTATCCAGCCCGTTCATCCCAAAGGCCGTGCTCTTGATCCCCGCCCTCCTGGCACACACCCAACTGGTCCCTAAGCCCTTGGCCCTTGCTGGTGGGGACAGGGACAAATCTCAAAAGCACCAGGTGGCTCTTCTCTGGCTCAAATCTGCACTTTTTTTTTTTTTTTTTTTTTTTTTTTTTGAGGCAGTCTTTCTCTGCCGCCCAGGGTTGAGTGCAGTGGTATGATCTCGGCTCACTGCAACCTTCACCTCCCGGGTTCACACGATTCTCCTGCCTCAGCCTCCCAAGTAGCTGGGATTACGAGCGCCAAGTCACCACACCTGGCTAATTTTTTGTATTTTTAGTAGAGACAGGATTTCACCATTTGTCCAGGCTGGTCTCAAAAGCCTGACCTCGTGATCCGCCCGTCTCAGCCTCCCCAAGTGCTGGGATTATAGGCATGAGCCACTGCACCCGGCCCCAAACCTGCACTTCTCTTAGAGGTATCTGTCTTCTCCTTCAAACCCTCCTGGAAAGCAAGGGCAAGGTGAGCCCAGAGGGAGCAGCGTATGGCATCCTGGGCCCTGGAAGGCTGTGGCCAGACGGGGAGACTAGTCCCGGCTTCTGAGGCTGAATGAACAGGTCAGAGGCAAGCTCTGGGTGTGAGGCAAGGCAGATTCTCCTTTTAGGTCAGTGAATGGGGATTTCTGAGCCTTGCAGGTGCATTGGGACCAATGGGACAGAAGGGTGGGGACTGGGGACTTGGCATCTTGAAGAAGGAAAAATGACTACCATCACTTACGTTCAGTAAAGGGAATGGTGACCTGCAAGACAACAGAAAGGACAGAGATGTTGGAATGAGAGAGTCACCACTGAAAAAGGCCAGAGGTTAGATGAGTCCCAGCCAGCCCTCATTTTCTTTCTTCACTGTGTGGCGTATCATCAGTGAGCCTGCGGATCCCCAGCCCAGGCCTCCAGACGGGTCTCCAACTGCTAGTAGACAGACATTTCAGTGGATGTCCTGGTGGCCATCTCATACTCAATTATGACAGGTTAGAGTCACCACTGTGCTCTCCAAATGGACTCCCGCCTCCGACCTCTCTGCCTCTGTTGGTGATTCCACCAGAGCTGCCCCGAAGGACTTTGCAAGTTGTTTATTACTGAAAGGGCAAGTGGGGCTGGAACCCAGCTGCACTGTGCTCACAAAGCTGTGCACCCTGATGTGTTCACTGGGTAAAAGGGGTACCTTCATCTCTTCACCCACAGATACCACCTCCCCACCACTGCTCCTGGAGAGCTGCACCCACCCGGCAGCGCGGCTCCTAATCCACTCCTGCTCTGCAGACTAGCAGCGTGGCGTCGCCTGGAAGCATCGTTAGAAAGATGGCATCGCAGCCCCCCACAGGCCTAAGGAGTCAGAGTTTGCGTTTTAACAAGGTCTCCGTTGAGTAAGTTGCACATTAGAGTGTGACAGGGCCATGGGACGTTCCCCCAGCTGCCCAGAATTTAAACTCCTCAAATTCTTCCTTGGCTACACCAGTCTTCTGTTCCCCACACCAGTGAAGACTTGTCACCTCTCAAGCTGCACGGGTGAAATGCTTTCCTAACTAACCTTCCCAGTTTTGCCTCTGAGTCCCCTTCCTGCCACCAGCTGTTAAGCCTTTCTTCATACCCCTGGGCCCCTCCGTGATTCTCATGCACCACAGTGCCTGCAGGATACATTCATCTGCCCATAAACTTTTAGAGACGGCTTCAAAGGCATCGCCATCCCCCACCTTCCTGCACGCTCACCCTATTTTTCTCTTTCCCTCCTCACCTCCCTTTCTTTTGCCTACATGATCCACTGCCCATCATGCAGCCCACTGTTCTTTCTTTTTGGAGACGGAGTCTCACTCTGTCCCCCAGTCTGGAGTGCAGTGGCACAGTCTCAGCTCACTGCAACCCCCACCTTCGGGGTTCAAGTGATTCTCGTGCCTCAGCCTCCCGAGTAGCTGGGACTACAGACGTGTGCCACCACACCGGGTTAATTTTTGTATTTTTAGTAAAGATGGGGTTTCACGTGTTGCCCAGGCTGGTCTTGAACACCTGACCACCCGCTGAGGTGGGTCATCACCTGCCTTGGCCTCCCAAAGTGCTGGGATTACAAGTGTGAGCCACAATCCCGCAGATCTTAAGCGGCTTATTGCCAGTGATGAAAAGACACAGGCATACCTTAGGATATGGTGTGAGACTTGCAGCCACAGAGGCACAGACCAGAGCTGCGGAACACAGAGTGGGGCAGCTAGTGACTGGGGGAGGTGCTCCACTGCATGTTGTATTGAACTGAATCCTAAAAGCTGAGTGAGAGCTTATCTGGTAGAAAAGGTGGGGAGGGCAGAATGAGCAGTCCCAGGAACTGCGAGGGCTCTGGCCAGGCTGGGACAGGCCAGGGCGTGGAGAGGATACAAGCCAGGCAAGGAGACCGGATTAACTCGCTTGGAGGCCGTGGGGGTCCCCCAGGGACTTTCAACAGGCAAGTGTGTGGTCTTTCTTCTTCCATCTGTTTAAATCCTGCCTAGCCTTCAAGGTTCTGAGAAGCCTCCCTGACTGCCCCAGCCCTGACGCACTCTCATTTCTGGACTCCTACTGCAATGCCCTTCATGGTTTGCTCTTCAAATCCTGCTTGGTGGGATGAGAGTCAACTTTTCATGCGGGGACATCTTGACTCCTCCACTGTAAGTCCTCTGAGATCAGGGGTTGTGTCTTACACGGTCGCCGATCCCCTGCAGCATTATACATCATGCCTGGCGCCTGGCGGGTGGGTACTTAAAAGCTCACTGTTTAGCTTGTCACAGCCCTGGCAGTTATGACTCGAACAGACCACCAGGGGGCAGCAAGCTGCACCTCTTAGCTCAATCCCGTCTGCAGACTTGAGCGTCACTGTTCAGATCACTTTCACTTTGCCCAGGTGCATGGTGGGCCATGCTTCAGGGCTTTTTCCGGGGAATCTGGAAGGTAGGGGGCAGATGAATCTCAGCCTGGGGAGGGCTTAGACGCTCTCACTACTGCACCGCTTCATACCCTCACCGCCTCCCTGCATATTCACCGCTGAGGGCTGCTTCTGGACAGAAAGGTGCAGGAGTGCGCGGTGGCTCAAGCCTGTAATCCCAGCACTTTGGGAGGCCGAGGCGGGTGGATCACGAGGTCAAGAGATCGAGACCATCCTGGTCAACATTGTGAAACCCCGTCTCTATGAAAAATACAAAAAATTAGCTGGGCATGGTGGCGCGTGCCTGTAATCCCAGCTACTCAGGAGGCTGAGGCAGGAGAATTGCCTGAACCCAGGAGGCGGAGGTTGCGGTGAGCTGAGATCGCGCCATTGCACTCCAGCCTGGGTAACAGGAGTGAAACTCCGTCTCAAAAAAAAAAAAAAGAAAGGTGCAGGAGTGACCTGATGCTGGGGAGGGAGCAGTGCTCCCCACGACAGAGAGGCTTGGACTAGTGTTCCAGGATGTGCCCAGCCTGTTTTAGGAGACAGGGAATTATGGAGAAGCCGGATAAGAGCCGTGCTCTCCCCCTCCCTGCCCCGTGCTGGGCCCCCCTCTTTCAGAACCACACAGGCTGCACACAGCAATGGCCAGGACGTCGGGGGCACAGCAGTGTGGGCAGAGCCAGGGTTCTCAAGGCCCAGGTTCGAGGATCACTTATGCCACTGAGCAGCTAGCCCATACTGGAAAATGACCTCCTTTCTCACTTGTAAAGCAGAGATGAACAGAACACTCGGCTCTCTCATTCCTGTCACACCTCCCTCACCAGTAGGATCGTGACAAATCACAACCAAGGATCATCTCTTCCTCTGAGTTCTCAACTGTGACTGGGAGGAACGAGGGGATAGGTGCGAGGCTCTTCGTAAGCTAGAGAAGACCCCAGGAACATGGTTGTTTGTGGGGAAAAGGAAGGCCTAGACATGCTGTGGCTGTTTAGATGTGGCCTTAAAATCATAAGCCAGGAAGGGACATGTGAAGGGTATATGAGATAAACTAATCAGCTCTCAACCGGTGTACTAACGGCAAATAAAAGATTTTTTGAGACAGGGTCTTGCTCTGTCACCCAGGCTGGAGTGCAGTGCTGTGATCTCAGCTCACTACAGCCTCAACCTTCGGGGCTCAAGCGATTCTCCCACCTCGGCCTCCCAAGTAGCTGGGAAACACAGGCATGAGCTAGCACGCCCGGCTAATTTCTGTACTAAAGGTACAGTTTGGCATTTAAATTCCTACATTCAGGGACTATTATTTCTGGAGGGTTCGTCACCTCTTTGCAACAAGATGCAAATGCTGACAGTAACTTCTTACACCCGAACTGCAGCCTACAGTTTGCAAACTGCTCCATTTACGCTTATGGAGCCCTTATGGTGAGCTGGCTCTGAGATGGCCCCGATGGTCCCTGCCTCCTGGCAGTCACGCCCTTATGCACTCCCCTCCCCTCAGAGTGGGTGTGGCCTGTGACTTGCTTCTAACCAACAGGAAACAGCATGGGTAATGGGATGTCACTTCTGTGAATAGGTTATATAAGATTCGTACTTTTCTCTTGCCAGCCATTCTCTCTGATGGTTTTGATATTGAAAGCTGCCCCGCTGCGGAGGCCTATGTGTCCAGAAACCTAGGGTAGCCTCTGGCCAATTCCTGGCTAGGGACTGAGGCCCTCAACCCGGCCTCGCAAAAGGAACTGAACAATCACATAGATGAGAGTGGAAGTGGATCCTTTGGACTTGACCTTGGAGATGAATTTACAACCCAGCTGAGACCCTGAGGCAGTGCGCCAGCCAGCCACATCTGGACTCCTGACCCACAGAAACGCAGAATCATTGCGTGTTGTTCTAAGGTGTTGAGTTTGTGGTAGTTTGTGATGCAGCAAAAGATAATGGCATACGTTGAATCTTACAGAAGCCCCAGCAGTTCTGGAGGGGCAGCCAGCCTGTCAAGTCATTTGCCTAAAGTCACAGGATAGCAAGTGCCTGAGTCAGGACCCATGGCCCAGTGCTGTGGCGTTTCCATCACACCAGCTGCCTCCAGAGGTGTCCTGAGGACAGGGGAAAGAGGCCCCTGTGTTCCCACCCCGGTTTCAGCAGGTCTGGGCAGAATGACTCAATGGTGGCCAAGTCAGAGAATGCGGGTAGCCAAAGGGGACAACCTGCTGTCCACTAAAGAATCCTGAGGGCCTTCCCTCGGTGACCAGGACTTTCTGAAGCTCGTTCCCCGCTGGTGGCCCAGACTCCCTCTCCTGGGGGAAAAGGGAGTGGCCCGTGCCTTACACTTACGTGAAACAGCTGGCGCAGCGGAGGCTCAGTCACGCAGGTTGCGCCTGAGCAGACAGCAGTTGGGGGTGCCTCATGGCCAAGGTCATCAGTCCCTGCCAGAGAAGAGAGGGGAAGACCTGTGAGAGCTGGACAGGAAGGCTGAGGACAGACAGACAGACAAGCAGCCCGGGGCAGCTGCAGCCCAACAGCTCTGGGGTGGAAGGTCTCCCCAGGGCTTTGCTCTTCGAGGTCAACCTCCCAAGCGCCTTGGATTCCTAAGAACCTGAGCACAGACCTGTGAGGTGGCACAGACCCCAGCTTTGTCTCCTTCCCTCTGTGCTGCTGCTGAAACCCTGTGCCCAGGGCAGCGGCAGGATGCTGGGCACGTGTCTGGGAGGTGAGCTGAGTGGGCAGGGCGCCGGGCTGGCTTTCTCCTGCTCAACTGGAGGACTGGGGTCTATGCCCCAGTGGATGCACCCGTGTTGCCGGATAACCCTGCTCTCAGCCTACCTCTTTCCCAGCACCCTCCCCACCATCTCCTGGGCCACACGCTCCCCTCCCCTACTCCAATATCCTGACTTCCTACGACTTCTGTCAGGCCAAAGATGGCGACTGGACAGCCGGATGAGCAAGTTCAGGCCGCTGTGCTGATGGAGGAGGGGGCGACAGGGTCCTCCCAAGACATCCAGGAATCCAGGGTAGGCTGACGTTTGGGGTCTCTTTACATTCTTTTATTTATTCCTTTAACCAATCAATCTAACCCAGGACAGTGCTGATCTTTTGAGACAGAGTCTTGCTCTGTTGCCCAGGCCGATCTCAGCTCACTTCAACCTTACTGCAACCTCGGCCTCCTGGGTACAAGCAATTCTGCCTCAGGCTCTCTGGTAGCTGGGATTACAGGTGCCTGCTACCACGCCTGGCTATTTTGTGTTTTTACTAGAGATGGGGTTTTGCCATGTTGGTTAGGCTGGTCTCAAACTCTTGACCTGAGGTGATCTACCTGCCTTGGCCTCCCAAAGTTCTGGGATTACAGACACAAGCCACTGCACCTGGCCAGGACAGTGCTGATCTTTAAAGAGCCACTCAACATTCTTTGGAAGAGTTTGGACCCTACACTGAGAGAAGGGGGGAGAGGAATGCCCTGTGGGGGTGATACTCAACCCTGCCGAGTGGTCCTGAGGAGGAGAGGCCTCCCTGAGTGGCGGGATGTTTTCATGGGGAGGAAATCCAGCTATTAACCCCAGCCACAGAGCCACCTTCCAAGAGGACAGGGCTAACCGCCTCCAGGTTCTCACCCTCGGCCAGAAGCTGGAGGTCAAAAGACGGACATTAGCATGATGCCTCAGGGATTGGTGCTGAGTCCAGCAGCTCTCAGGGGCAGAGCCCTGGGGAAAGCTGAGAAGGAGGCAGAGTGACTGCGTGACAGGGCAGCCCTGCCCCGCATCGCCTCCCTCCTGGATCTGGGCCTTGCTACACTCTCCCAGCTCCTGCTTGGACGTTCTGGGCACTTGAGCCTTTCGTTTCTCCAAGATGTTCTCACTCACATCAAACCGTGACATCGAGTTTCATGTGACTGGGTATTACGGCGGGGCGCTTCCTGCACGCGTTCTGACATGGCAAAGGATAGAAATCGGATGGCGGAAGTGAGTCTGGGACAGGGCCCTCGTTCCCCGGCTGTACAGACTGTACAATGGGAATGCAAGAACATCTGTCTCGGGATCCGTGGAGGCTTTCACCCGCTTTACAAAATACGTATAGGACAATAATTTGGTGAGGGTTTGGTGAGGAGATTTCCATGGTGAGAGGTGTTGCTGAGCTATGTATCCCAGGGGAGGAGGGCTCTGGGGCTGCCTGTCTTGAGTCAATATTGTCTAAGTGTCAACGGTGAGAAGACCTCAACTGAAGAGACTGCAGGTGGCCTCCACGTGCCCAGAGGCCGGGCAAGGGGTTGCAGGAGGCTCCTGGATCAGAGCTGCAGTGCTGTGTGGGTGAGGGGAACTGCAGGAGAGAGGGGCCCAGCCCAGCAGGGGACCCAGGAGAGCCCACAACAACAGTCCCAAAAGCTAGAGCCAGTTTTCAGTTTCTCCAAGCGCCCTAACCAGGAGGAACCCCTAATTTCAATCCTGGCAAGTGGTAAAACAGCAGCTCCTGGGTGTGGTGGGAAGAGAGAACAGGGTGGTGTAGAAAGCAGAGGGACGTGTGGGGCCCACCTCAGGTGCATCCAGCTTGAGCGGAACGAAACTGGAAGAAAGGAGAAAAATAATGCAGTCAGAATGGAGGCCAAAGTGTCTCACCATTCATGATTATTACGATTATTGTATATATATATTTGAGACGGGGTTTTGCTCTGTTGCCCAGGCTGAAGTAAACTGGCACAATCTCAGCTCACTGCAACCTCAGCCCACCGGGTTCAAGCAACTCTTCTGCCTCAGCCTCCCAAGTAGCTGGGAGTATAGGCGCCCACCATCACCCCTAGCTAATTTTTCTATTTTTACTAGAAACAGGGTTTCGCCATGTTGGCCAGGCTGGTCTTGAACTCCTGACCTCAGGTGATCCGCCCACCTCGGCCAGCCTACTATGCATTCTAATGTGTGAGTGGACTGTGTCTATAACTTACACTAACTATCAGGCCATCACCGAAGACTGGAAGACAAAGCAATGGGATTGGCACAAGTTTTTTTCTAGGGGCAGGGGAAGATTTCTCCCACTGAACACATTTTAAAATAATGGGACATTCGAAGAAAAAAAACTAAAGTTGCTTTGTGAGCATAAATCATGCGACGTGCTTGTTTAACATATCCGTTACTTAGAGAAAAAATGATCCGTGGAAACGTGAGGACTCCAGTCTCTTTTTTAACAACTTTTATTTTAGGTTTCGGGGTAAAAGTACAGTTTGTCACATAGGTAAACTTGTGTCGTGGGGTTTGTTGTACAGATTATTCGTCACCCAGGTATTAAGCCTAGTATCCAATAGTTTTTTTTCTACCCCTTCCTCCTCTCACCCTCCACCCTCAAGTAGGCCCCAGTATGTATTATTCCCTCTTTGTGTTTATGATTCCTCATCATTTAGCTCCCACTTGTAAGTGAGAACGTGCGGTCTTTGGCTTTCCGTTCCTATGTTAGTTTGCTAAGAATAATGGCCTCCAGTTCCATCCATATTCCCGCAAAAGACATGATCTTGTTCTTGTTTATGGCTGCATCGTATTCCATGGTGTCTATGTACCACATTTCCTTTATCCAGTCTGTTACTGATGGGCATGTATGTTGATTCCTTGTCTTTGCTAAGGTGAATAGTGCTGCAATGAACATTTGTGCATGCGTCTTTACGGTAGAATGATTTACAGTATTTTTATTTTCTAGATGATGAAACCAAGTTCAGACAAGAAGTGACTTATAGAACACGCACAGCAATGTGAGGTGGCACCGTAGAGGTCCCAGGCCAGGGCCTTCCATCTGATGTTGTCTCTCCTTCCAGAAGGTCTGTACTTACTTCATCAGGAGTGGGATGTCCGCTGAAGTGGGGTTTCTCAAACTGGCTTGAAGGTAACAATTCCCTAAGCCATGTATTAAAAAATGGAGACTCCAGAGTTACTAAAGCAGCGTCTACAGGGTGGGGCCCAGGAATCTGTATTCTTAGCACGTTTGAGTCTTACCACCTGGCTTTCTGGAAAATGATGCAAGAAGAAACTTCTTTGGGAGGATTTCCGTCTGGAGGCAGCAGGGGAGGGGAGTGATCTTGCAGAGCCTGCCGCCTCGTCTGGTGCCCCTGACAAGAGTGGCTCTGGGTTCTATGCCTAGAGGCAAGCAGGCCAGGGGGCAGGAGGAGGGGGAGGTCTAAGAAGAGCCAAAGGCACGTGGTGTGAGCCTGGATGGGATGGAGCCAGTAAAGCTGTCAGAATGAGGGGCCTAAAGGCCATTTGTCTAGTAGAGGCTGGAGTTGGACACTAAAAGCCACCTGGATAGAATGTGCCGGGAAATGGATCTCTCACTTCCCCATGAGGCCAGGGGTTTCTGCTCTATCTGAAAGGCCCCCTGTTCTCAGTGACTTCAGCCTCACTGAAGCAGGGTCACCTCCCCTCACTGCCTGGATGAATGCTGGCAGGAAACGCCAGCTGCGGCTGGCACCAGCACATGTAATTAACCATCGACTGCCCCCTGCTCCTTGCTCGGCCCCCTCAGGGGCACAAGTTAATTGAGTGGGGCCTAAGCACTGACTGATCTCAATTTCTCTGATGCAATTAAGCCTTCTCCAATCATTTATTAGCTCATGAAATTGACACAGCAGGTTAGCAGCCCCAGAGAAGAGGTAGTTTTTTCCTTGTTACCTGTTTTCCTGGATTGCAATCCTTAGGCAAGGCCGATAGAAGGAAATGGGGAAGGGGTTACCTTTACCTTGATTGTACATATGCCCATGACAAAGTCCTGACCCCCAGGATGAGGGTTTGAAGAACTGGTGACCACATGGGTCCCCTTACCCTAGACAGGTAACTACAGCAGCAGAGAGTGCACTGTTTGTGAAGAGGCTTCTCTAGGAGATATAAGACGCCTGCAAATCTTCAAGAAAAGACCTCCAAGAATCCCAGTGTAACGGTAGGCAATGGACAGGTGGCTTATGAAAGGGGCATTCTAGAGGCTCACAAGAAAATGAAGAGATGCACGAACTCATCAGGAATTCAAGAACTACAAGCTGAAGCCACGGTGAGCTACTACTTTTTACCTTAGGGTTGGCAAAAGTCAGGAGCGGGATGATGCCGAGCATTCAGGCAGATGTGGGGATGCAGGAGCACTGGTGTGGGTGTGGCTGGGGCAGCCACTGAGGGAGTGACCTGCCACCACTTAGTCACAGCGACTACACATGGCCCAGGAAACAGCAATTCTGCTGCTGATTCGACATCCCCAAAATTTCTGAACACAGCCATAAGAGCTCATATGTGAAGATGTTTGTTTCCGTGGGGGGTTTTATGACGGCAGGGAACTGGAGGCAACCTCAGTGATCATCACTGGGGCGTGGACCCGGAAGCTCAGGTAGAGGCTGATAATGCACTCAGGTAGGATAATGCACCTGCTGAAAGCAGAGGATCAGGTGTGGCACAGCAGCACACAGCAACGAGGG